TAAAAATTATATATAATTAATACATGTGCAGCAGTCGGTAAAAAAAATTGTTACAATTCTCAAAAAAAAAAAGGTTGGAATTCCCAAAAAAAATGCAGTAGGCTTTTTGGAGAAGCTTTCTCATTTTTTTAATGGTAACGGAAGTGACGGACGGAAGTTAACGGAAATATAACGGACGAAGTAACGGAAGTGACGGACGTGTGACGAAAAGTGACGGAAGTTACAAGTAAGGGCTATTTTCTTCCATTCTTATAAGTTAGGGGCTAAAACCGTTATATTATAAGGTGAAGGGCTAAAACCGTTCAACTTATCAAGGTAAGGGGGTATTTTTAGGCTTTTGCCAACTATTGGGCCACAAGGGCCAAGTGCTACGGATGGGCATTTGAAGTATGGGTTTTTGTAGGATTTTGATAGATAGTCATGTAAGGGTAAGAAATGGGTAGTGTTTTACCCTGTTTATATAAATTCGAAGAAAACTGTAGCTGAAGGGAGGCGGATTAGCTTGAGCAAAGCATGTGAGAATCCTACTTGTGTTGAGATTGGTGATTGCTGTAACCATCTCAAACTCCCATCTGTTGTTGAGGTTTATTTATGGCCTCGTTTTGCGCATTTCTTTGATCTTGCTTGGTATTTATAGCAATTTCATATGGTTAAGAGATTTATGTTGTCCTGCCTCATTTGATCCATACAAGTTGTCGCAGCAAGACCAGCTGAAGAATCAATTTTTGTGTCTACATGCTTAAGATTGTTCCTTTAATTATTATAAATTAGAATGTCAAACATTTCTTGAACTAGAAGAATTGAAATTTCTGAGGATGTTATAGTGTTTGCTCTAAATGTGCATAGAATGTGACTGCAGTCAGACTTTGTAGCCTGTGTTTGTGATGAACTGTAACTACCTGGAAAGGTTTAGGGAAGCAAATCTATATCCAGGAATATGCTTGATATGCAGATCAAAGCCATCATATTCAAAAGCTGAATATGTTCCCTGCTTGCCTACCTCAATTCTGATGTGCTCTCAGTGATTGTTATCTGTTACATTATACCAGCAGTTCAAGGATACTTCCCACTTGAATTGTTCTTAATTTCTATTGCATCATGAGATAGTTTTCCTGCTCCTCGTGACTAATTTTGAATTATACGTGTGGATTTCATTATTATATTGTTAAATCAGAATTGTTGCAAGGGTGCACAAATAGTTATACTTTCTTTGGATTCAGTTTCCGTACCCTGTAAATGCTAGTACTCTAAAGCACGCCTCGTCCGCGAGAGTTTGACAACTGCTGCCTCACTAAATGTAATGTCTGTTGCGTGACAATGCAGTTAAAAGTTTAGCTGACTAAAGCCCTCATAGCCAGTATTTTGTCATTTGGGGGTTTACTTTACAAACCAATAAAGTGGAGTCAAAGAGAAAAAAGAACCACCAGGTGTTGGTGCAGATAGACACATCTCGTTATGTTCGGGGCAATGAAGATATGAGCTTTTTCCATGGAAGAAAATTCTCACAAATCATTATCTTGGCTGCTTGTATCCCAAACTGATTAACTTTTCCATCAGCTTCTTTTCAGCATTTGCCTAAAATCCCAAGAAAGAGAAGGGTAAATGTGAAATCAACAACATCATGTTCCAAGGCATGCAAGAATATGCCATGGCAGATGAACTTATTAGACAATGCTCCTCTCTTTACTTGAATTGGAAAGAGGGAGTAGGGCTATCAGAGCAATTAACCAGCAATATGCTTGTCTTCCCGCCACTCTCATTCACATTGGAAAGTTATTGGTCTACCAATGGTTCAAATCTGTTAAGTTTTCCTATCTGGATATGGCTTCAGGCCAAAAGTTAAAAACTTGTGTCAAATGCAAAATGAAAATCAAACAATCTCTCCAATACCAGTACCAGGTGAAAACCTAACCAACAAAAAAAAAATGATGATATTCTACCAAAAAGAAACTTCAATGCATTGTTGTGACATATGATAGAGACTGAGAAAGAATGGCAGAGGAACAAATTAACCTCAAGCATGGGGCTATTCTTTGGGATACTGCAAGCAAGAACTATGTTAAGACCAGTTTTCAACACTGCCATGGAAACAAAAAAATTGCGTTTAGCCCACAATGAAAAGAAACCAAACAAAAAATATTAATAGAAATTTACCTAATCGCCTAGCGATTCCAGAGCCGGTGTTATCTGAAGAACCTCCGAGAATGGAAGTCACACCGACCGTGTTGCTCTGCTTCCTCCATCAAAACAAATGACAATTTAACCAGTATTCATTATCAATTATTAATCCCTAAGTTTTGAAGGTTATAATCTTACAGGTCGTGTCGATGCAGCTGCGTACAAGTCACCGAATTTCGTAGAGTTGCAACCGATCCATGCATATATCTGTTTGTAATTAGAAAGCGATCAACTTCTGGATATAAAAAAGTTCAGAAATTGAGCTAATTAAATATCCACACCTGTTTAGGGAAACAAATGATTTGGAAGTGGAAGGTAGCGTCATCGACGAGCTCGCTAAAGCAAGTGATTTCAAGACCACCAGCGGCGCCGTTGGCGGTGGTGCTAAGGTGTGTCGTCTGATCTTGGAGTTTGAGAGAGTAGACGGAGACTAGGTCCGAGTCCAAAACGCCGTCGTACTCTGATTCTTTTCCAGCCATTGTTCGTACCGCAGACGCTCGAGTGGCTTATGACCTTATGCTATTTTGTGTTGGTCACTGCTCAGAAAGAGAAAGAAATAGGCCCAAACTTAAAGAAATAGAAGCCTAATCTAAAGTCTAAGGCTCAAATGAAAGACAAGAACTTTTATAGGCCCAAAGGGCATAAAATAAATACTACAAACCATTCACAATACGCAATAACATGATATTACAATTTAGAAGTACTCATATGGGTAAATAATTGTCTGAACTTCTTGGTTCAGTTATTGAAAAACACTGAAGCAGAAATCATACTAACATATAACCATGGAGATAAATGGAACACGACTTTCACTCTTGATACCCCACCGTATTCCTGCCTCTATCATCTAGAGAGGAGATTTCCCATACTTAATGCTGATGATGGTAAGTGAGAGCTGAATATATACTTTGCATCGCAGTAAGTAGAAGCAAGAAAACCGCAGCAAGAAAGGAAATCAACGCCCATGGGGTGTTGAAGTAATTGTGCCATAAATTTGCCTTCCACAGGTTCCACTTTCTTTTGCAGTGTTTGTGCACTTTCACAAATAAGTTGGCATAGAAGAAGTCCTCTTCGGCAATCAAAACAGAATCACAGATTCTGTTAAATATGTCAGCAATCACTTCATTATCACCTAACCTATTTTCAATGACTTCATGGCGACGGAGTAATTCAACATCCTTCCCTGTGTTGATGAGGCAATCCATGAATCTAATATAGTCTATGAAGTGTCTTGAAGATATGTCCTTGTAGCACTGT